GAAGTTTTTAAGAAGAGACTGGACAGCCATTTGTCCGAAATGGTGTAGGGTTTCCTGCCTGAGCAGGGGGTTGGACTCGATGACCTCCAAGGTCCCTTCCAACTTTTTTATTATTATTATTATTATTATTATTATTATTATTATTATTATTATTATTATTATTATTATTATTATTATTATTATTATTATTATTATTATTTAGATCCATAGTCATATTCACATGTTGGGCTCAGTAAGATCTGGAAAGTGTTCTAAAATCTAAACCATGAAGATGTGGCCAGAAATACCTTGTACAGGTCCCCAAGAACACTCCTACCTCCCCAAGCCTTCAAACCAAGGCTTGGGCTATCAAAGTCCTGGATTCCTGGTAAAAAAAGTTCATAGAAAATTAGTTCAGGGGGTGTCACTAAGAACTTGTATATTACTGACAAGACCCATGTAGAGAAATGGGATGGCAGGAGCATGTCCCTAGAGGTTCAATACATATGAATTACCTAGAAGTAGAGTTATTGGCTTGTCCTTGAAGTTCCATGCTGTGATAATCATGCTTTACAAGATTCAGCCATCCAGATAGTAAGTTTTTTTTCTTGGCATTGCATCCCTGAGTCAAGAAAACCTTCCTTCCCTCTTTGTTAATTGTAATTGCAGATGTAGAATCAACCTACTGTATGTGGTGCCAACACACTTTTAGCTAAATTCAAACAAGGCCTAGAAACAGTTAACGCATCAAGCTGAGTTTTTGCCATAGAGGACATTATGATGAGCAGCTTGTCTAAGTAACCATAAATGTGGAGCCACTGGATTCTTGAATGGCCCAGAGGAGCCATTTTTACATTTTGATGAATAGTCTCAGTGACAAAGCCAGACTGAAAAAGAGAGCTGTGAAGTAAAGCTGATTGCTCTTGCATACAAATCTGAGGAACCTTTGGGAGGGGAGGAGGGTTCCTGGTTGGAAAGTTAGGTAAGTTTCTGTCAAATCCATCAACATTAGAAAGTTAATTACAGACTCAGATGTTGCCTGAACTAACCAATAGTTGAAAGTCAAACTTGCAGAAAAGCCCCTTCATTGGGGAGAAGCTATTAGAATAATCAATAGTATTGATAAGACTGATTTTGCCTATAGCCCAGTAGAAGGAAGAAAGCAAATACAAGAGATGTCCTGCATCTTCTTTTCACACCAAAGATCAAATTCCCTACTTGCCCATATTATGGCCCTGCCCAAGGCCTTATTTATTGTAGTACAGGAACTGGCCTTCAACCTTGCAGGATTATTCACAGGCTCAAAGCCAGCATTGCTACTCATCTCCATGCTGTGCCCACCTGGAGACCTGATCAAGTTCTTTCCCATCTCCTACATAAATCTGTCAGCTTGGTTATGTGGCTACAATTTCCTGCTGTCATACCAATCAGCCTACAGAGAATAGCCAGGAAGCATTTTTGTAAACTATAGTGGACAGAGAGTTTGTTATCAATTTCTGGCCTCTCCGTTTTGGTCTCTCTCATTCTTGGTTCCAAAGTAGAGAGTTGATGGAACATTTCCTTTGAAAATTCCTCTAGAAGACAAAGACAGTGAGGAAAAAAGCCTGCTTTCTAGATGTAAAAGATGGCAATCTCCTTCCTTACAGCTTCATCTCTGGTGATTGAGAATAACATCTGCCTGTGAAAGGATTCCTCCTTCTACCTTCAGTCTACTTTTCATTTTAGGATTGAAGGCCAAAGAGGAAGCTATTGGCAAACTGTGAGAAGAGTTCCAAAGGGCTGAGAAAAGTACGAGATGGCATATAAACAGCAGCAGATATAGCTAGCCATTTAAGGTCATAAACAATACAGTCTCATTACTTTTTTGCTCCAACAACCGTATCTCCTTATTTTTAATAAGTGATATACTGAACTTTCATGAAATACTAATGTTGGCTCAATGTATCATGTGGATGTGAAAACCTAGTAGCCTGATGGGAGGTTAGCTTATGCTTCTGTATAATCTTTAGATCATCATATCATCCAATATAATGATTGGCTTGAAATTAGTCCTATTTTCTGACCTCCCATGAAGAGATAGAAAACTAGAGTAGTTGCAAATATGGGATGCTTCTGCTGAATCATCACTGTAAGTACATAAAATATATGTGAAGCAGCTGAAATGGATGAGCTTTCATTACTCAGATTTTTTTTTAAAAAAAGCTTTTAATTTAAGAAAAGCAGGGAAGTGACAGCAATATACCAGTCAAAATTATTGCTCCTATATAATTGGAGAAGCCCTCAATTTTTACAATCATCTGCCTCAGATCACCGGATAGAATAATGGTGACAGTACCAATACCAATGTATCATATGTGTATAAAGTACCAGATATAACAAGGTATGTTTTGGCAGCCAACTCCTCTTCAATTCTGCTTAGTAGGAAGCTTTATTGTGTTTATAACCAGGCCTTCAAATGGCATGAGACAGCATTTTAAGCCTACCTTCCACACTTCTGAAACCATAATCACATATGCTTTCTTTGATGGATGTAATAAATATTTGTCTAAAAAGTAATACAGAACCCAGTTAATCACATCTTCCCAAGTACCTAAACTATAAAACTGTATTCTATTTTGCAAAGATTTTAAACTAAAAAAAGCAAAGCATGCTACAAAACTAAATTATAATTGCTGACATGAAAGATTTAATTTAAATTTCTAAGCAAGTAGCAACTAGCCAGATGTGCTATTTATATGCTTGCAAAATTTGATGTATTCCCTCTCTCTATCACATTTTTCAGGTGAAAATATACATCCACAAGCTGGATGAAGTGAGTATGTGTTGCTTTCACTGCTTTGTCTTTCCCTAGAGAGTTTTTTTTTAGGCCAAGTGAAATATCTGATGAGCACATACAGAAAGAAATCATATTGTAGACAATGTGAACCTTACATCCTGCAGAGGGCACTCTTGTGCATGTTTTCTCAAGAAACTACTGTATAAGAAACAAAGGTGGGGGGAAAGAAAAATATTGATAACTGGTTATCTTACACGATACTGGAAATCAAGTGACATCTAAATGCACCCCTAAACGCACTGTCTTCTTTACAATTTCACTGCACGTATGGTGCAAACATTCAAATAGGGATAAACGAAAAGATTTTAAAATCACCTTTCAAAACGTTAAATCCTGCATGCACTACACCTTCAATTCCACGGGATTTCAATACAGTATTTAAAAATGTATTTTTCAAAATTGCTCCCCTGGACAGTAAGGAAGAACCCCGAATAGACAAAATGCCTACTAGCCTGGTCCCGAGTTACAACCGCTGCGTTCCCACAATGCAATTCGCCCCCTCCCTCGCTTTACCCTAAATGACCCCTTTTCATTCACACATACACTTCGGATCTTGGTCGGTTCCCTGACTCTACATGAACCACCACCACCACCACCCCGGAGGATTCCTCATCGGTTCTTTGTCCTAGGCACCTTCGCTGAAAGGCGCTGTCCGCTTCCTCTACAGGGGAATATTTTAGAGAAGTAGGGGAGATTTCCGGGGCCAGCCTTAGGGAACACCTTTTCCTCCAGGCTCTGTCGATTCCCTGGGAATCGACCCTCGGCAGGCCAAGCAGTTCATTGTTTGGGGGAGGCAGAGGAAGATTAATTTGGGGGAGGGGGGGGAATAATGTAAAAGAGGAATCCAGCATTCCCGGCGGAAAGTGCTGATTCAGTCAAAAGGCCCACCCCGGCCCCGGCGACCATGGGGGAGAAAAAGCCTCTTCCGCACAAACCAGGCCGGCTCCCGCGAGTATCGCTGCCACCCCAGAAGCAACAGGCACCTCCCGGCTTCCTGGAAGGGTAACGTCGGGCGATTTTGCAACCCGTCTTCACACCCTTCCTTGGCCAGAGCTGCCTGACGACGATTGCACACTCAAGTAGTTAAGCACCGTTCGGGCAGCGCCCTACTGGATTCAATGGGATTTCCTTCCCAGCAAACGCGTCCAAGATTGCAGCCTTATTAGGACAGGGGGGGGGGGACTTCGGGGAGTGACAGTCGACTTTTTCGGCCGGTTGCAATTTAGCGAACGACTCGGGACTCTCAAAAGCTGCCGCCGCCGCCGCAATAGTTAACGATCCGCCTTTCCGTGGTGTGTATGTAACTGGCCTTTGGGAATGCTCGTACCTAATTTACGGAGCCTCGTGGCAACTGGGAGCCAGAGCAGGCGGCAGTCGGAATTATAAGGTGAAAAAGGCTATAACTGTCGGTCGTATTTCGTAGTCTCGCCAAGAGGCAACCTCCTTTCCCTCAAAGCTCACGATTTTGAGCCGGGCTGCCTGGGGCGGCGAGGAGGGAGTTGCACCGAGGAGTTCGTCCCCCCGCAAACACCCCCCACCCACCCACGGAGGCTTGTGACCCAGCTCGTACCTGAGGCAGTGTACCAGCTGCCGGCATGGCTGGCCTCCCGGCAGAGCGCTCGGTTGGACATCTTGGTGCCTGAGCCGCCTATGGTGTTGGGGGAGTGTCGGGAGGGGGGGGGCAGGAGACGAGTCCGGCCGCGGCGGTGTTAAGTCCCCCTCCTCCCCCGGCAGAAGTAAAGCCCCCGGGAGGGGGGACGGTGCTGCTGGAGGCACCCCGGGTAGAACGGAAGCCAGCGGAGGCGGCACGAGGTGAGGAGCTCGAAGCTGCCGAAGGATCCGCCGGCTTGTGCAGACCCCAGAGGAGAGGAAAGGAGGCGGAGGAAGGCAGAGCCTAAGGGGGACAAAGGCCAAGGCAGCAGCCGCCGCCCGGGCGATACCCACAGAGCAGGCGGCAGCCGCCGGGTTTGGCCTAACTCGGCTCCTGTGGCATAATAACTAGACCAGCGTGGCTCTCCATTGGGCAAGGGGAAGCCAAAGGTCCTGTGGCGATTGGGTAATGCTTTTCCCTGTTCGCCGGACGGGGCACAATCGCAGCTTGCCATTGGGCAGCGCTCTGAAAAGCCTCCCCTCGATTGGATGAATGAAAGGGACGGGCGGGATCACTTAAGATTGGTCCGGGGAAGTTGCCGTGGCGATGGCATCTGGCCTCCCTGATTGGGGGGTTTGTGTCTCTGAGGTGAAGGGAAGATTAGAGGAAGAGGTGGGTTTGTGAGAGAAGGAAGTGGGACCACCTCGAGGGGAGGACAGGGATGCCTACTAAGTCGACGGGGGAGGGGGGGGGCTGTCAAGGGAGGGGGTGAAAAAGCGCGCGTGAGAGTCGCTGCTTCTGCTCTGCAGGGTCCGCTCGAAAGTTAGAACGCAAAAAAGGTGGATTCCCGGAAAAGAATGTCGCCGCTTAATATTCCGGGAACTGGTGCACCCGGATGTGTCGCACTACAACGCCCGTAACGTGTGCAGCTAGCAGTGGGTACTGGAAGTTTTAGTCCAGCACATATGAAGGCTTCCAAATTAACTCAGTGCCTGGCAGCTGCTCAGTTTCAAATTTGTAAAAGGGATGGAGAAGGGGATTTCTTTGCAGCTGAAAGAATATAAGATCTCGTATAGAGAAGGCCTTAAATAATTACAAGTGACTATTAGAACGATGCTATTAATATTCAACACCTTACAGTTTGCCTTATTGTATTCAGAATAATCTCTTTCCAAATCACATCAGCAGTTGAACCTAGAAATATTAGAAGAATCATCTCAGTTTTGCAGGTAGAGACAGGTTTTTTTTAATTATCAGACATGAGTTGCTCTGAGATTATTATTTTGGAGCAACCAAGAATGGTATAATTATTTAAATATGTAATATTTATGTGATATTGATTTAATATTGACATACTAGTTGGACATTCAGACAGCATAATATTCTTCCAGAAACAGTTAAAGCAGCAGCCTAGAAAGCAAGAGACTGAGTTCAGGTTCCACCTGAGGCATGAAAGTAGACTCTCTCTCAGCCCAACTCACCTATAGAATGCATGTAATAGCCTGGTAGAACAGAACAGAACAGTTGGGAGGGACCTTGGAGGTCCTCTAATTCAGGACTTTTCAACCGATGGTACACATACCACTAGTGCAGTGGTTCTCAACCTTTTTAATGCCGCGACCCCCAACTGGTCGTAAGTCGAGGACTAAACCGGTCGTAAGTTGAGGACTAAACCGGTCGTAAGTTGAGGACTACCCAACTGGTCGTAAGTTGAGGACTTTCCCTGCCCGGGAGCACCGCACATGCGTGGTTCCGCCCCCTGCACCAGCCGAGGCATAGCTGGCAAGCGGCAGAGACGGAGCAGGCCGACCACCAGCTGGCCCAGCCCAAGGGAGGTAAGGCACCCGCCGGAAAAGGGGAAAAAATGGCAGATAGCCTTGCTTGGCGACCCCCGTGAAATGGTCGATTGACCCCAAATGGGGTCGCAACCCATAGGTTGAGAACCGCTGCACTAGTGATATGTCGGCACCTGGTGGTGGTACACGTACAACGGGTTGAACAGCACTGTAAAAAAAAACATGTAAAAAAAAGTATAAAAGTGGATGGGTGAAGCGGCGGCAGCGCCGCACAGGCTTGTGGGAAAGTCAGCTGGAACTGTGCGAGGCGTTGCCTGGGTCCTACTGACAGCCCAGGATCAAGGTGCACAGCTCCAGCTGATTGGGGGTAGCAGGCAGCCTCACACAGTCTTCAGGCAGAGATTCAGCTGGAGCTGTGCAAGGCGTTGCCTGGGTCCTGCTGAGGGGGAGAGAAGAGAGGATATAAAACAGACATGTCAAACTCGCAACGTCACGTGACGTCGCGCTACGTATCGGAACTTTTTTGCCATTGCCGGCAATGGGGTGGGCACGGTTTTGCGATGACATGTCTGGCCCGCGGGCCGGCAGTTTGACACCCCTGATATAAAAGAAGGAGGAGGGAGAGGATATAAAAGGGGGGGAGAGAAGAGGATATAAAAGGGGAGAGAGAAGACAGGATATAAAGGGAAGAGAAGAGGATATAAAGGGGAGAGAAGATATAAAGGAGGGAGAGAAAGGACATAAAAGCAGGGGTGAGAAATTTGTTAAATGAGTTTTGATCAATTTTATGACTTTTCTTGCCACAGTTGTTAAGTGAATCACTGCAGTTGTTAAATTAGTAACACGGTTGTTAAGTGAATCTGGTTTCCCCACTGACTTTGCTTGTCAGAAGGTTGCAAAAGGGGATCCGATGACCCTGGGACAATGTGACCATCATAAATATGAATCGGTTGCCAAGCATCCGAATGTAAATCACATGACCCTGGGGATGTTGCAACGGTCATAAATGAAAAATGGTCATAAGTCACTTTTTTCAGTGCCATTGTAACTTTGAATAGTCACTAAGCGAATTGTTGTAAGTCAAGGACTACCTGTACTTTATCACTTTTTTCCTTTTTTTGTCATCAAGTTTTTGACACCTTGCTGGGTGACTGGTGGTACTCAGATATTGCCTTATTTTAAAAGTGGTACAATCGGTGAAAAGGTTTGAAAAGCCCTGCTTTTAGGAAATTTCTCCTTAGTTCTAGGTTGTTTTTCTTCTTGATTAGTTTCCATCCATTGTTTTTTGTCTTGTCTTTTGGTGCTTTGGAAAATAGGTTGATCCCTGCCCCTTTGTGGCAGCCCCTCAAATATTGGAACACTGTAATCATGTCATCTCTAGTCCTTCTTTTCACTAGACTAAACAAATCCAATTCCTGCAACCATTCTTCATATGTTTTAGCCTCCAGCCCCCTAATATCTATCTCTCCTTCCTTGAAGGAAGACCTTTTGCAGCTTTGTCACAATAGCCAGCCAGATAGATACTTGAAGTATCAAAAATGGTCCATCACTTTAATGGTCTAATGTTAGAAAACAAGCTACGGCCTGCATTTCTTCATGGCATACTGACTGCCAAACTTCTGGCTAGAAAATTATCCGAATGCTTCTATCTCATGTTATTCTGTGATGGAGCAGAATAGCATGGGATAGAAGAAGCAAAAGAAGGGACTTCTGTCCATTAGGTGTAAACAAATATAGGATTGAACCCAATTGGGTAAAGATTCTGATCTACCCCTGTTGTTTCAGAGAATTTTCTACTGAGTCAAGCTAAGTACTGAATAAGAAGCTATGTGGCTGGAGGGTTAGGATTTACTGTTGAGACAGAATTGAAGTCTGATAGCTCATGGGGAGCTATTCTTTGCAAAGGACACACCTGTTTCAATAATTCAAAAAGAAATATTCTTAGTTTGTACTCAAGTTCTATGTGAAATACGTCTTTCAAAGGTTTTGCACAGCCTAACAGATACTGCTTCTTTTTGTACTACATTGGTTTAGGCTGAATATGAATTAAATGCTGTGCTGAATTTCTTCCATCCTTCTTGCTTTAATCTTAAACGAAAAATCACCCCGTATCTTGTGAATCAGACCAATGACGGTATAATACAGGGTTCTCCAAACTTGACAACTTTAAGACTTGTGGAATTCAACTCCCAGAATTCCCCAGACAGCATGTCTGGCTGAGGAATTCAGGGAGTTGAAGTCCACAAGTCTTAAAGTTGCCAAGTTTGGAGACATCTGGTGTAATAGAATATATAAATTCTTGGGCATTGTTTATGTTTATGACTTTGGCTGCTATCATGCATCCTTTTATTTAATAGTAAGCCCCATTGAATTCAGTAGGATTTATTTCTTGAATAAGCTTGTCATGCAAAAGATCATTCTGTAAAGCAGTATTCCTCAACCTTAGCAACTTTCAGATATAGAATTCAACTCCCAGAATTCCCTAGACAGCATTAAAATGATCTAAAATTTTAGGATGTAAGCATTTACAGTATTGAAATGTATGTCAGATACTGTTCATGTGTTTTTTGTTGTTAGTTGCGAAATCGTGTCCGACCCATCGCGACCCCATGTGTTAGCGCTTCTAAAAATTTTATTCACAAATACTTGTGGTTCTGTACCGAAGACAAATTCCTTCTGTTGCTAATCACACTTGTCCAAATAAAGTATTCAGTGTGCTTGTGTATATTTGTTTTTTATAGAAAACATCCTTTATTTTGCTAAGTTAATTGTCCAGTTAGTTTTGTATTGCTTTGATAGCAGGGTTACTCCTCCACTATTTAGCTACCAGGCACATAAATTTCATAATAAATGCAGGCTGAAAAATCCAGTTCAGGCTTATTAATTAAGTTACTAATTTAACTTTATGTTCTTTTCTGCTGTAAAGCATCTAATTTTATTATAAAATAAATCAACATTTATGTAGCACTTAAAAATATATTAGAAATAACACAAATGATCAAAACAAAAATAACAGGTTCCTGAGGCTAAAGACTTCTATCTGTTCTTTGATAAACTATTTTACTTAAACAGGTTCCCCCTCAAATATACAAAATAGCTTAAACCATTTCAAAATGAGCCCTGAGTAGCCCTAGACTCTGAGTCTCATGTTTAAGAAGAGATTAGAAGAACAACTGAGTGTTTTGCTGCAAATCCTTTTTGGAAAATGCCATTTGAGTTTCTAGTTCTACACCCTTCCTTTATTTTGAAAAATCTACCAATCAGAATTGGCAGAAAAAATTATTAA